AAATAGCAGCTAGAAATGGTTATCCAACTCAGTTTATTGAAAATCAAATTAGAAATACTCTGAATCGATACTATGATAAAGAAAAGAAAATTAATCAACAGATTATTCCTATCAAAATTAAAGCGGTTGATATTCAAAAACCAAAAATTAAAATCAATCAATGTATAGTGTTAGATATACCATTTACAGGACAAGCTACTAAAGTTTTTGGTAAAAGACTTCGAAATTTAGCCAAGGCAGTTAGACCAAATACAGTTTTGTTAACGGTTCCTCGTCCACCACCAGCCGTTAGAGATAATTTTCGTAATAAAGATCCAATTCCAAAAGATATGCAGTCCAAATTAGTCTATAAAATTGAATGTAATGATTGTGAATCGGTCTACGTTGGAAAAACAGACAGACAAGCTACAAGACGTTTTGGAGAACACGGACACATATCAAATTTATTGAAGTCTAGCAAGAAAGAAAAACCTCCTCCTACTACTGCCAACACATTAACCACAACTCAACCTGTAAGACAATCTCAGAGGCAACGACGTAAACCTAAACTCTATGAATTTGAGGAGGAAGATATACCGGAGGAGGGGGATAATGTTATTCAAACGTTTGAATAACATTGCGATTTAAAATCGGCAATCTCAGTTCACGAACGTGAGAAAAAACATCGAATGAATTGGGAGAATTGGAAGATTTTAGCTAAAGATTCAAACAGATATCGATTAAAAATTCGTGAATCTTTACACATTATAGCACTTAAACCTAATCTAAATGAAACAGTCAGATCAGTGCCATTAGTCATATTTCCTGAAGGACAAGTGTCTCTTAACAGGAAAGAAACAAGGAAAAAAGTGAAAATGAAAGGAATTTAACTACATTCTATATGCACATTTCATTCAAAGCGTGTGTTTTGTTTAATTTGCTAATGTCTGGTTTTTCTATAGTGTAATTTTAGATGAGATTATGTTATTTTCACCTGAAGATGAGGTCTTAGACATCGAAAGTGCTACTGTTTATAAATAAATGAAAATGAAATTGTCTTCTGCTGTTAAACTTGTTTTATTCTTAAGAAACCAAACATTAACCACTCTATGTATCGGTGGCCACAATATATCAGATGAAGGGGCAAAACCAATGGCAGAAGCCTTGAAAACAAACCAAACATTAACCACTCTTAAAATCGGTAGCAACAATGTATCATCTGAGCTGGCAAAAGCAATTGTAGAAGCCTTGAAAAGAGTCGAAACATTAACAAGTCTTGATATATACAAGAACAGTAGATCAGATGAAGGGGCCAAAGCAATTGCATCAGCCTTGAAAGCAAACCAAACATTAACAACTCTTAATTTATGCAACAACAATATATTAGATGAGATGGCAAAAGCAATTGCATAAGGCTTGAAAGGAAACCAGACATTAACAAATCTTGACATGTACAACAACAATATATCAGATGAAGGGGTAAGATCAATTGCAGGTCTTCATAAATTGCAGATTCTTCAGAAATTTTATTTTTCATGTTTTGGAAAACACACTGTTTCGGCTGAGTTCTTTAAAGATCTCGAAGCTTAAGAAGATCGTATAAGCTGACCATTGCTCTTGTTTTGGGATTCCCCATATAGATATATGAGTGGGTTGCATTGGTATTGTACCGTTGCTGTAGTCCGATTGCTTTTTTGACAAAAGTTGTTCTATGGAACAAAATTTAATATTTTTTTTTCATTTATTTGTTGAAAGAGTTATTCAGTACTGAAAAAGAAATAGTTTCTACCTCATTTGGTTTCCAAGATATGAACGAAACAAGGCCAAAACAGAGTGATTTTGAAACAAGGTCAAAACAGAAACAGCGGTTTTCCTCCATCCTACTTAAAGTTTACTGTATACTTTAATGGAACTTGTAGCCCGAAAACAAGACTTTCAAATTATGTACTTTAATTTCAAGTAAAATTAGGTTTTTCGTAAAAGCTCGGGGGAAAACTGCTGTTATAGACACTTTTCATAATTTTTCCTGCGAGACTCCAAGACAGTCTCCATACGACACAAATGATTTAAAAAATTTTCCAATATGCCGGAAATAGACCAAGAGTTGCTCTGCATTTTGCTAAAAAAGGTTTTTTTTCTAAGTCTTCATATCTCAATAAAAACCGTCTTTGGATATGTTATATAAATGCTGTTCTTAGTAGGCATTCTGGAAACCGCCGCCAGTCTTGAAACTATAGATGCACTCATACTCTTGAAAAAAATATTTCAGACCATTTTCTCTGAGCTAAAAGTTCGAATATTTTGTCATTCCGCATACTCACCTGTCTACTGTCAACAATAAAAGTCCCTAAATACATTATAAATAACGTGAATTGCATCGATTCACTAAGTCCATTGCGCGTAAGTCCAATGAATGTACTATCGGAATTACTCTTCATTCTACTATTCATTCATCAGAGTGAGTACGTGTTTCGAAGCCATGTATGGAATAGAAGTCAAGTCAGCATGAGTTCACGAGTTATGTGACTCTCAAAAGTTTGAAAGCGTCACAGCGTTGTTTAGTCAATTTATGTAGTTCATCGAGTCTCTGTAATTTCATTTGGCTTTATCTGTAATACAGACTTCGAAATGGACGTAATATTGCCAAATCTCTCAGTCTTTTCACTCTTGATAACGGAACCTAACGAGGAAAGGTCCCCAAGTGTGCAATCGCTTTTTATCGAAATTTAGTAGACAATAGATAATCGACTACGCTGAATCCGAATATGACATCCATTTTGGCTCTTAGACTTCCAGCGACCGGATTTCTAGAAAACCAGTTTTTCAGAAACTCTAAACAATAACAAAAGCCTTTCTTAATGAAGCATGATTGTAGCTCGCAAATTTCTGACTAAAATTAGACATCTCCCAGGTCAGTATGACCTTTCTTTGCAAAGTTATAAAATCTACAAGAAAAGCCCTCAATTAATTTCTTCTTATTTCTGTTGCTTTGAGATGACAATGAATAATTTAGAGCTTTTCTTGTAAATTTTATAACTTTGCAAAGAAAGGTCATACAGACCTGGGAGATGTCTGATTTTAGTCAGAAATTTGCGAGCTACAATCCAAATTATAGCTTTTAAGACTTTTAAGAGAAATGGAGATCCCCATCATCTTTTCTGAGGAAAAATTCTGAAAATTCGTTGACAAGTGGACGAATAAAACAGTTTTGATGCAAATACTTAAATACGCAAATAATACGAATTATTGTTTTGTATTTAGCATAGTAAGGAAATCGTCGATGTACTTCACTTCGCACTTAATCAGTATGTCTATAAGTCCTTCTCAGAAGTAGGAGTACAATCTCGAGTGCACGATGTGCATTAGAGATTTCAAATGGCAACAACTAGCATGTATTCAAAGCGCGAGACATATTTCGATGTAATCGAAATGTCGTTTAGTTTTTTCACTATCGAGCAAACGCTCCTTTTTCTGCTGTTAAACGACCAAGAGCTGTTGACATGTTTCACAATGATCAGCTAGCTATGAGCTCTTACTGACTAGATTGGTTAACACAACTTCCTTTACAGGTAAACAGCAAAAACTCAAAAGAAAATGAAATCTACTTTAAACTTCTTTCCTTAAGATCATTTTATCAATTTTATTTTGGGTACAAGAAAATGTCCGATTTCAGACTGTTTTCTGTTAATCCAAAGTTTCGCAATCAGTAAAAAAGCCTGGTCCAATTAAGCAACTAAGTTCTTCGATGATTTTCATTGTACATACTGTACTATAAGGATCACCTAGTAGTTGTGCTCGAGCATGGTCATCCGACGACGTGAGACGATTTTTTAATTTATTTTCACGTCCAGGAAATGCCCATTCAATATTTGGATTGGTAACAATTTCGTATAATAATGTTTGATTTGTACTAGCGCCACTTGTACAATCTGTGCTTATATCAATTACAACATGTACAACCGAATCAAAATCAGGAGTAATTCGGATCTGATGTAATAGATATAAGTGAATGATGAAATTATTTGATGATAATTGCGAATAACTAAAATATCTTAGAGACTGATATGGTTCAATTTCGGTTGAATTCAAATGTGATATTGTCAATAGCTGAATAACATTTAATGTTATATTACAAAGATATATGCCACTTAGTTCAGAATTGCCTTTGAATAACTGAGCGTCAAAGATGGTTATATTTCCGTTAATAAACTTATTCAATGACCATCGATCAGGTACTATTGTCCACAAAGTACCAAGTAAGCTCGTATTTGTCGGTAGTGGTGGTGGTTCAATGGTTGAACTAGTAATATGTGCTGTTAGAACAATCTGGTAATCATGAGGCATATCAAACATGGGTACGTGGGACAGCCATACAGTGGACGGTTCACTTAAAGGTAACAAGATCATCCCGTGGGACGAGATGCGACCGCTTGGAGGAAGTGATGGCAATTCCGAAGGCTTTGGAGAGATAATAAAATCATCTAAATAAGCTGTATGCCTCTTAGTGAGTCCATCTGCTGCTTGTTGTTTTAGTTCTGAGTTTAATTGAAATAAATGCTGTATATTTAATGGTAACGCATGTTCCGAAGGCTGATTAGTTGAACCTGTCGGATAATCAATTTGTTTTCTGGATGTCATTTCGATATGTGCGCCCAAAATCAACGTAACATTTACATTTCGTTGATCACCTGTTTTAGCAAAGTCTGCTAAGCGTGCAATAGATTCTACATTTTCAGTAAAATTTGAGATATATAGCCTACCAGGATATAAAGAGTCTCCCGTAAACAAAATTCCAGTTGCACAATCGTAAAACGCGATTGAACTACGTTCATGCCCTGGAATAGGAATTATTCCGAGAATTCTGTTTTGATCCAAATTGAAAGTTCCAGTTGTGTATGGCCAATTCGTTAAATCGAAAAATTCTTGAACTTCTTTGACACTCGTACCAGCAACTGTTGTATGGGGTTGACCTTTAAACTGTTGATCACCAGCGATATGATCGGTATGTGCATGAGTATGAGCAACCATTAATTCAAGGTCTACACGTTGTTTACCATTTTTTACACACCATTGTGTTATCAATGTTTCAACATGTTTTTGTATTGGAAAACTTGATGATGGAATGGTTGCTCCACTATCGATCAGCAAAACAGTTGTATTGCTGAACAGAACATACATAAATGGAGCTTCGTAATTAATACATTTATTTTCACGCAATATATATGTGTGATTATTTAAAGCATACACTTGAATATCGGGCACTTGGGCTCCAGCAGAAAAGCAATTTAATGAACCGCTGAACCAATTTACGGAATAATTGAATGTCTGATAAGCAGAAGTTGGACATACAAATGGATCTGTTGAGAGTGTCTTTAACGGGTACTCAAACAATATTAAAGTTAGTATAAGACGGAGTACTAATTGTATCATGATATAGTTCTAACCTGGATTTAACTTTTTAGTATAGAATGATCATGGTGAATGAGGTTTTAATTCGACTTATATTTCGTATTTACGTAATAGATAAGAAAGTAAAAAATAGAGTATTGATACACGGCGGGAGAAAAGAAGCTTTAGCACTAATAAAATGCACATGACGCTAATCTTTTTGTCAACAAATGATATTAGTTTTTAAAAAATAAAATATCACAATGACAGTCTAAAACTTCAACTATAATAAGTCAACCTGTATAGTTCTTTCTCTTTTTCCACCTGCAATGCCCTAATGTATGCTTACAGGAAAACATCCTAAGATGCCGGACTCAGTTTCGACTCATTTATGCCTTAATCGATAGGAGCATGTCGAGATGGTTATAACCCTAAAAGATTTCGTGCCTATGCCTCTTCATTCAAAAGTTATAGAGATTTTTCTATTTTCTCTCTAGAAAAAAAGAAAAATTCAAAAATCTATAACTCTGTCTAGGGATGGAGCAGAAGGCTGCAAATTTTTGCTTTGAAATTGCTGTTTTTCAGACATCTGTCTTTTATGAAACTATCGAGAAGAATTGACATACCGAATAGATAGATTAAATTATTGATTCATAATTTCTATTATTTTGCTATAAGTGTATTATAAAAATTTTATTCGAAAGTATGACAGAACCTTCTCTTTAGGTTTTTGTAAATTCATAAAAGCTAATTTGCATCATAAGCACAGTGTTTGATTTTATCTCGAAAATGAGGATTGTTCCAACAGTTCTTGACAGCCATCTCCTCAAACATCTTCAAGATGGTTCTTTTCCACATTTTCTTTTGCGTTTTCGAGCGCATCTCGATTAATGTCGACGCCTGTGACATGTGATGCCCCATTCAGAACGGCTAATATTGCCATATAACCAGCGCCCTTGCTAATTTCAAGCACTCTCGGCTGTTTCTGTTTCTCAAGAAATTGCTGAATAACTTTGATTAATTTATTTGCCAAAAACTCAGTACCAAAAAAGAATGTCGGGATTAAAACATTTGGATAGATGATAAATTCTTTTTCACAGAGTTTATTTTTCTTTAACATTTCGTGCACGTTCAAGTTTTGCGAATGTTCTCTCCAAATAAGCAGGTTTTTCTTCCATTTCCGTTGTTTACTTCATCGATGCTTGTTATATCATTCAGGATCATCATAGCCTCATTGTTATGTTTTTCAGTATTGGGCGTTACTTCGAACCAATATATAGAAGAGAAAACTATTCACATAGGTATGCAAGTACGAAAGGAGAAAGAACAAAGTCAGAGGTTATATCGGATATATACGACATCTCTATAGTGGCTACCGATTCTGCTCGTAGTAACCTTGAGGGTATTCAAATATAAGCCATATTCAATGCGCGAGAACATATGAAATTGGCTACTAGCGAATATTTTATGTATGTTCGTTTTGTCTAGATAAATAGATATCAACGAAATAGTTTCGTATCGTATCAATATTCTTATTCTTCACCTATAAAGTGCAGTGTATATGATCAATTCTCAACTGATTGGGCCGTGATTTGTTGCTAAGTCTAGAAATACTTACTAAAAAGTTGACTGTTAGATTCTAGGTTTCCGTATGGTTCGGCATGGATTTTTCCGGCCCAATTTTTGGGACCAGGATCAATTCGGACCATCTCCAACAGTGACAATTTTTTTCCTCCTTTTTGAAGATCCATTTCTATTGTGTAACGAAAAACTGTTTAATTTCAATTTTTATCAAACCAGGAAACAAACTGTTTCTTAATTAAATGTTCAGCAAAGCTTATCTAGCTGATAAACAAAAAAATAAAGAGATCTCTAAACATTTTTTCAACCAGGACCCAGTTCAGACCATAGTAGTTGCGATCGAATAAAAATCTAGTAATCTAGATGAATCGGGCTATACTAGATTTTTTTTGACGCTTGGAATAGGAAGCTCTGTTAGATTCCATATGATGTTGTCATCTATGCATTTTTTCAATCATTTTTGTGTTCATAATCGTACTGAGATGCCAGATTCACTTTTGACTCATTTATACCTCAATCGATAGAGCGTGTCGAGATGGTTATAACCCTAAAACAATTCGTGCACATGGCTCTTCGTTCAATAGTTATAGAGAGTTTTCTATTTCTCTCTAGAGGTTTACGTAGAGCTTTTTTTAAATTTTGGTTTATGTGTTGAAAGTCGTTGTAAATAAAGGTGATTTAAGCAAAATAAAAATAAAAAAAGTTAAAAAACGTTCAAGAAAGTAATGAAAAATAGAAAAAAAAAGCCCCTTCTTGTGTGAGAGGCCTCTACATGGCAGAAGGGAGATAACATTCAATCTGACGATGATCGTCGTCAGATTGAACGACCAACGATCACAAGTAGAAAAATTTCATTTCTTATAGAGTTTTTAGTTGATAATATTCACCTACTACTGATTGTAAAAGACTACAATTTTTCCTAGAAATAGAAAATTGTGCACTCATTTCAGTTTTTCAAGATTTGGAGAACACAATATTTCTTTTAAGTTCTCTGAAGATCTCGAAATTGAAAAAGGAAAAGAAAATCACATATTTCAATCACCGCTTTTGCGTTGCGATTCCTAATATATACAAAGGACATGATCTTTCCTTACAGAATCTCAAACTGATTCTCAAAAAGTTCTATTTATGTACAACAATTTGCACACTTCGAGAACATGTTTGCTCTTGACAATAGAGTTTTAAAATTCGACTGGAACAGAACGAGTCGAGTACCTACAACGGTTGGAACCTGATTCGATCCGGATCGAATGAGGTTCCAAATACCGGTCGACTTAGGATGTGGGTTCCATAGTTTTCTCTACTTGTGCAGATTTTCAGTTAACAATATTTATACTGAATAAAAGAATAATTTTACATATGATCACAGATCCGTAATGATTAAAAAAGTTGGCTGGTGAAAGGAGGAGTTAAGATCCAGATTTTTGAAAAAGTCGAGGAACAGAAATGTGTTTTTCAAGCTTATGTTTTCTGGAAAACAAATGTCCCAAGTAAGGATCTTAAAAAATGAAAAAGTCAATTTCTGCTCTTCCGGAAAATGAAAAAGCAGTTTTACAAATTTTCCGAAAACTCACATCAGATCCGTATTTGGGACATATGAAAAACACAGTTTTAGTTTTCGGAAGAAGTTCTCTTTTTTGAATGTACAAGAAAGAAAGACATCTATCTATTTGCGCCCATTGTAATGATAACTAAAGACACACAAATACATTTCTATTTCTCTCTTTCCGTCGTCGTCTGTATAACGTTTCCATTTTGTAGATTTATGGTAAGGTAAACATGCATTTCTGGGACTACTGTAGCCTGTCTATTTGGCAAACTGTTGTTTTTCGTAACGAAATGGTGAAAAGTTTATTTCGAATGCATGGTTCGGAAAAGTTCATTTAAATTGTCCCGTCACCACCTAGACACTCAGAGACCTTGTAAGCAGTTGTATGATAACTGTGTTTATAACCAACATCGTTGTCTACCAACAAACTGCGCCGTAGAAAATATCTTACTCTTGTTGTGAGGAAAAGAGTGAATTAGTAGCACCACGATTCTTTTGTCTGTATCACGATCAACTCTAAACAAGATCTTTTACAGCTGTGAAGGATCATTTCTAGGTATTTTTCAAGTTTGCTGATATAAGATTGCTTCTGAGAAAGAGTTCTCATTCATCTATCACGTACAATAGCGCAAGAAATAAAAATTAATTAAGCTAACTATAAGAGAATCAGTAGTATCTATTTTTCTAAGTACAATACAACAAATTTGACAGCTTGCAATATGTACGAAACCAGTATGTAATTAGTAAAGAAACACGGCGATGTACAGAAGTTAGTGTTTATAGAATTAATATTAATATTATTTATCACTAGTTATACATTCTTTTTTGATCAATGTAAGATAAGTCATGAACAGTTACATCAACTGCAGCTGCTTCTTTATATTGTTCATTTTCATCAACAATTTGTTCTGCTTCCTTCTGTTGTATGGTACCATTATTATTCAGTGTCGTATTAACAATTGAACAAATTTTCTGTTCTACTTTTGTTTCACCATTAGCTAACTTTAACCAATATTTTCTTGTTTCTTCAATAACTTTTAGTGCATATCTTCTATCACCATATTGCTCATATAATGCAAATTTATTTGGTGGTTTTCCAGTTGGTACCTTGTAATATTTGAACCAATTATGCGTGGCTTCTAATAAACCAGGCAAGTGTTGTTCAACATCTTGTATATCGTTGATTTTTGGTGCTAATTTATCATTAATATCAATACCAATTAATTTCCAATCAGTTTCACCTTCATCAATTAGACCTAAGACACCGACAATTTTTACTGGAATGATGGAACCAGTACTATGTAATTTTGTACCAATTTCACAAACATCTAATGGATCATTATCACCTGTTGTTTGAGTATCACTATCCACATGATTGGGATCTTCCCAGGTTTGTGGTAATGCACCATAATTCCATAGATAACCATGATAAGGAAAAATATTGTGAACAAAACGTGGTTTACCTAAACAATATCAAACAAAATTGTGTAAAAGAGGATAAACCTTTAGCAACCTCAAATCATTAGACGGGTAGATATGTTGTATTATTATCTTTTATCGGTCGTTTAGCTATATTGGATCTACCTAATATTTTTCGAATAAACAAATTTATGCTTTTTACATAATGTAACAGTGTATTTACAAGATGTTGTATGCGACACCCATAACGTAAAAATGTTAAGCGCTAGCGGGCTATGCGGAGCCAATCCCAAGCTTGATGAGTCTTTTAGCGCGAGTTATGAGGTTTTTGTGTGTTTTCTGTTCCTATCCTCCATCAAAGATAGCGTCCCTAGTAAAATCTCTATGAGTTTCCTGACAAGGCATATCCTATCAATATCCTACTTGAATTTCACTTTAATTTCTTAGGATTCCAACAAAATCCTACAGAATTCTAATGAAATCAGGTATACCCGAAAGTCATAGGATCTAAGATTCTATTAGAATTCCAAACTTAAGCGGAATTCTAGTAGGGCCCTAGCATTTTAGGATCCTAATGAGAAGTTATTAGGCGGATCCTGAATGTTCGGACCCTGTAAGATCCTAGTAGGAAATAGACAGAAAGTGCATATGATTTTGTCTAGGGGTACACCCTTAAAAAAGGTTTCTTGCATTCCCAACTATACGAAACGCATTTCTGTTTTGCATCTAAAGTATAAAACTCTCTCCGTTTTTTAAAACACTGCTATTACACTACATAAATAAATGGATAAGAATTTACTAATCTTCTCGAAATAGATAAACGAAGTTAGAAGGCAAAAATCATTTTCCGTTGTGTTGGTCAAAAAATACGTTTTCTTTTAGAGTATGTTATGTTATTGTTTGACAGCATTTAAGAATCTCAAATTTCTTGTACAAGATCTATAGTAAATATTATTTTATTGAACAGTGAGACACCTATCAGGGGGTGCAATTTGATTTAGAATGCATAAATTGTTTCGTTAGTAAACAGATGGGTACTATTGTTTAATATTCTGAGAAATTCATTACCTATACATGAAACAGAGTCACGAAACATTTCATGAGTTACTCTTTTTTCCTACTTCTTCAACTCTTGTAAAAATTTACACAATTGTACGCGCATATATAGCGAATTCTTCTTCACATTTTCAAAGTTGTTTTGGACGATGACACGAGCATCGTATCAAAAGCTTGGAATTAACAAAACGGATTTAAAATCATTTTCCTAGCAGTTGCGTACTCAGTATTCTCTTATCAAATAGCGTGTGGAGTAAATGCTAAGACAACCTTACTTTTCCAAAAACAAAAAACTGATATTGATGGGAACCGATACACCATGGGCAACAACGTGGACATTAGATGAAAAAACGAAAGTGAGTTTTTTCAGTATCTGATTAGCGGCTCATATACTTTGGATAAAGGCCGTTTTTTTTGTCAGTGACGACTTTCTTCTAGTTCCTTTCCTCGCTGAGATAATCGGAAATAATCTTTTTTCCTTAAGTCAAATTCTGATGAATTTTTTACCTGATGAATGTTCATCTATATGAGGCCCATGTATAGAGTTAGCGCAAAGTCACCAGGCCGAAGATATTGGTTTTCCAAAGATCCTAGGCTTTTCGCTGTTTTTCACACGTTACACGTCGAAAAACCGCTCTTTTCTTCAATATTTATACATCTTCGGACTCCGCGTGAAAAACTGCACCGAATGGCATGTTTTTCAGCATTTTTCGGAACGACATTTTTTTTTCAAAATTCTGGTCTCTGTAAAAAAAAACTATTTTTTTGACTTTTTTTCGTCCGCAATGACGTTAACAACGTAGCCAAAGATGGCTGGAAGTACTCATCTCGTCGATAGCCAAAGGTCACTCTGGCACTCGTCCTGTCGATATCATCTAGTTTACATACTTATCACTATAAAAAGATTCTGGCCTTCGGAGAATCCCCTACCCGGTTCCGCATAGCGAGTTTTTGTGTGTGGGAGGGCGGGCTGGAGTTTCAGTCCGGACATCAGTGAAATATCACACATAAATTTGCTATGGTTTGCTGATTGTGCATAGATTCCCATCCCGCGCGAGGCGGTGTGCTGAGAAGCGCAGAAGCTTGGTATCTGATTTGCAGGTTTTTCCGTCTCAAAATACTGTTTTGGAATTTCTTTTTTTAATAACTTCGATGAACTCATGGTGCACTCGATTGATTCAATTTTTTAGTATTTTTGTGCTCGCTTCGTGAATGCGTTCGTGGGTTTCTCTATTCTCAGTCACTAGAACCTCATACTAAATTTCACTCTCACATACCGGAAACCGACACTAGCACTGACTGTCGCATAAAGAACAGAAGCTTAGGGACTTGGCCAATTAAAATCGAAAAAAATCAAGGCCAAGAGGTAGAGGGGGCCGTAAGCATAAAACAAAAGGAGCTTACTTCATATTATCGGAATCAGCATGCTTAATTACCTCTAGAGCCATTTTCTCAGATTTTCCATAAAAAAGGTTTTATAGAGACCTGGTTTCCTCGAAAACTTTTGCAAAGCTCCAGAAAATTACTTATAGCTTTCAAAACTCAAAGGATCTCTAAAAAACCGGGTTTCGGGAACTTTTGAGTTCTGAAAAGTTTTCCATTGGAAGGAGACCACAAAATAACCTGTATTCATTGTGTTTTGAGTTCGATGGATCCTTCTAAACCCTGATGTCCACGTACCTATCGAAAACTACCCACTGTGCGATATTTCGATACCGCTGTATGTCTACATACCATTTTTAATATCTTGTACAATTGGATTTAATTTCAACTGTTTGTTAATTTCCATTTTTGCATTTGTCCATCGTGGTACTTCAACGATCATATTATAAACAGCAGTATTTCCTTTTGATGTATGTTCTTTATTTATTAATGGAATATCATGAAATGGTGATACAAATTGTTGTGTTTGTAAATCTTTAAAATAACAACGATAATTCAATGTATGTAATTGACCACGTTCAACAACTTCAAAACGTTTATTTTCATTGTCTGATGATTTTGGTTCACTGCTGACAGGTGGTTGAGATGTCATCCTTGATTTTGTTGATACTGAATCACTAGACATATGTTGTTATTGTTTCTAAGGATGGTGTATTGTTAGACTTTGTTGTTAATGTTTCTCTTGAACAAATATTAATTGACTTGTTGATGTCGTTAATTCTAGAACAAATCGAAATCTTCTCCTTTCAAATACAACCAAACCATATAAAAGCCAAACAGAAACTTTTAGAGCTAGCTCAACCTGGATAAAAGGGAATTTATCTAGCTTCAGCTAGTTCCAGCCTAGCTTAAGTTAAGTAAATGTTCCTTTTTCCCTAGACCAACCCAGTTCTAAAAGACTTTTGTTTTGATTAGGATATTCGAACTACTTTCTCCTTTCAACGGTAAAAACAAAGTGATCTACTCCAAATTAACTGATATTCGTCTTCGACGAAAAAACGAATTCTTATTCTTCTGATTGTGACCCAGAAGGGAAAAAAGATCGAAGTTCAGTTCTAGAAAACAAATATCTAGTTTTTTAGTCGAGGAAAGAAATCTTCTAGTAAATTTAATACTGGATTTTTTCTGGCATGAAAGTAGTTAACAAAGAGAAGTGTTAAAAAATACTTTTCTTGATTATAAGATGCTCCAAAAGGCAAGAAAATAGCAAAAAGCAAGAAAATAGATTTCTTTCAAACATACACGGTTGGATAGAGCTCGTCAAGCTGATTCCGAATTTCGCCTTTTATTGAGTTTTGATCCCGTTTTCGGGCAGAAACCTTCAAAATACCTCAAGAGTCGGAAAAAGTAAAAAAGTGAGCGTTATAGAAAAAAAGTCAAGATTTGACCGTTTTTCGTTCACTCCAGTTTTTCGAAGCCCATAGGCCTTTCGTAACCGGTTTCTGGAAAACTGGTTGCCCTAAATGTTTATTGTCAGAGCTACAGGAAGAAGAAGGAAAGATGGGCAAAAACGGCTACCATATTCGGAATCAGCATGATCGATTACCTATAAGCTATTGCATTTCATTAGAAAAGCGATTTGACAGTGGGATATGTTCCCTCGTTAGTCCGTCCTGCTCGCAAACATCAGACAGGTGAACTAATGACAAACCTACACGGATATACTCACTTTTTGATACTGAACTCGAATAAAATAGTTTCGAAAAACTGGAGTGAACGAAAAACGGTCAAATCTTGACTTTTTTTCTATAACGCTCACTTTTTTACTTTTTCTGACTCTTGAGGTATTTTGAAGGTTTCTGTCCGAAAACGTGATCAAAACTCGATAAAAGGCGAAATTTGGAATCAGCTTGACGAGCTCTATCTAACCGTATATGTTTGAAAGAAATCTATTTTCTTGCTTACCTTTTGAATTGGGAGCATCTTACAAAAATATTTGTGAGATATGTGGCACGCACTCCTCTTTTATATATTACAAAAATCAATAAATTCATTCGTAATCTTGAATCATTTGTTTGTTCAATAGAGATCATTAAGGTCTTTAATATGAATCAGTAAACTCGGCATTTTGTTTCATAATACAAGAAAAATATGTTTTTGTCAAGACCATTCTTCTTAACTACGTCAGTATTATTTTTTCATTACAAAAAGAAAAGAAAAAAAATTCTCGTGATTATTCACAGACAAACGCAACAGTCATTGTAAACTTAAAGAGAAAGAACGTACGAGATATGTATAATGCTTACTCAATAAATAAATATTGTAGATACGTTTTGTTCAGTAAAAAAATAAAAGTGAATGACTATGATAATGCTTACTTAGTTATGAAGTACTTTTTGTCTAAATCAATATGTAAAGAAGGAATATGCGTCACAAAAAATTTGAATAAAGAATAAGAAAATGAAATTAAGAAAATAAAAGGTTAATGAAAATATCGTCTACGCCAATCGTTTTTTCTCTCTTTCGCTCAACAAAACGTATCATCAATATTTGCTTATTAAGTAAGCATTATACACATTTCATACGTTCTTTCTCTTTCAGTTTACACTGACTATTGCGTTTGTCTGTGAATTATCACCAGATTTCCGTTTTTGGTTTTCTCTTCTTAACGAAAACATAATATTAGAGCACTATCCATTTCAAAATACAGTGGGCAGGGTCATTTTTTGAACAAGTCGAGGACAACAAGTAAGACTATCTCCGCCAAGATATGGTGGCTTGAAAAGTTGGGATTTTCAAGTGGTATACTTGACAAGTGAAAAAGAACAGATCGCTCATATTTCTGAGTCGTTCATAACTCAGTCAATTTCGATTCAGACTGCTCCAAAATTTGAACATTTACTGCATTTTGTCTGTCATAGATTTTGGTTTTCAAAAAGTTTTCCAGAAATCTTCTTTTTTGAATTCTTTTTTTAAATGAGTACTTGCAGGACTAGGTTCAGCAAATAAAATGAAGTGTATGTTGAAATTTTGGGGTATTTTCGCTTCGACTCAGTTGATGTTAAATCTAAATATGTAATATATTTAGATTTGTTTCACTGTTTAAATATTTTCTATGATATGTCTTTCTCATATAACCGAAAAGCAGACAAGCAGATAATCTCATGTATATTTATATGAAGGTGAGAGGATGAATATATTGAATATTGGATGAATATATGGATGAATATATTGAATATTGTGTGCGTGTGTGTGTTTATTAGCTTTGTAGTCCGGTTTTCAATGCTAACCGGTTATACTGAATATTGCCTAATACTATATGGTATATCAGTTCTAACTACAATTGACAAAGAATTATTTCTATGGAATTTACAGACTGTTTCCTTCAAAAAATTCTCAAAATAAATCACGTCAGGCAATAATAGTTGGCTTCCTACGAATTACGGATAGAAACGTGTTTTATTCATCAAAGAAGAAATTTCGTGAAATTTATGAACTAAAAAATATTTTTGTAAATGAACATTTGTTACAACATAACAATCAGATTTATCTTTATGCAAAAATAAAATTCGATAAAAGACGTGTATTTACATGTAATGGTAATGTTCTAATGTATCTGACTAAAGGTAAATACAAGAAGTTCAATTCAATGATAGATGTTGATCATGTACTTAATAAGTCAATATAGGCTGTGATATTCGGTGACCTCAGATGATCTTTAATCAAGAATCGTTTTTTCGTACTTTCCTTTCGTTTCTTAAATTTTTTCCTTATTCTCTCCTTTTTCCGTCTAACTATGTAAGTGATACTGAGTAATGCTTTTTTTAAAACTCGGCAATTAATTGCGATTAATTGTTGATTCTAAGCGATTAAATGATTATTGTTATTCACCATTTTATTTTGCGGTAAAGTATGTATATAAGAAACACGATTTCGATGAGGAATACACTTCTGTTTAGATCATCTTTTTATTTTAGAGTAAAACGGAGTTGTCAAGTCTTCTCTATGATCTCTCAGAGCTCAGTGGCAAAGGTCGTCTGACTGATGGTCAAGCAATTAAATTTAAAATATATTTTGCTAAAGCAATTCGTAAAAATAAGACTGATATAAATAAATTATATCGAGCTTCATGGGCGATATTCAATCATCATTACTCAACAAATGAAGAACCAATGCATGATTGGTGCGATGCGAAATGGTGTAAGCATCTACAAGCTAACTCAAACTTTGTGAATTCCAAAACATCTATTCCACGAGCATGCTTGAATATGATACGACCGGTTTTCGATGAACTTTGTTCTCAAACTAGTTTAACTCGTATTGTGGGCGATGGATCACAAAATGCTAACGAGGCCTACCATTCGTTATTATGGACTATGGTTCCAAAACACCGCTATTGTTCATCAACCACGCTTCGTATTGGATTGGGATTATCTACTATTATTTATAACGAAGAATACGAAGCATTGAATAAAATATTTAAAAGCATATTCTTGTCTGTGGGCTGTTATTTCACTGAATGTCTTCGCAGACTTGATGTTTTAAGAAATTCTCGTACTTCGAAAACTACGAACAAGCATTCAAAACGTGCAAAAACAACAACAACTGTTGCCGCAAGTACTGCTTCAACTGAAACTGGTGATGAAATGACATATACCCTAAACGAAGAAAACTTGGATTTCAGTGTAAACGATATTGCATTGAAACTCGATGGTATTGCGTTAGAACAATCGGATGATGATATCACTGATACATATGAAGCAGCTGGTGATGATTAATTACCGAGATATGGTCACTGTTATCGCAGATTTGAAAAATACTAGTTACTTTATTACCATAACACTCATTAACCACATATTAGTTTTTTATTTCTGATTTCTAAGGTCAATTAGATGAGCTTGCTAATAAAATTTTGTCGTAATATCTTCAGCTATAGTAAAATCAAAGTGTCTTTCATTATTTAAGATGATAAAAAATATTATTACTCAATGAATAGTTATGAATACACTTGTAAAAAGTATTTTGCGTTTTTCTCAAAATGAGATTTTTTACTTTTACGTTTTCGTGCATCCCAGATTCCTCCGTCATTTTGAAAGCTAGAAAGCTCGGGTTTGTTTTAAATCATAGCTAAAGTCTGACACTACAACTTACCAGAGCCCGATTCTTCGATTTCAGAATTGACGTCAGATGAAGAGAAAATGTTTGAGATCCTACACCCCAGTAATTTCATATCGTGACG